GGTGAGACCACCGCCCTGGTCAGTCAGCAGTTGTCAGCATCAAGGTGAGGCCACCGCCCTGGTCACTCAGCAGTCGTCAGCATCAAGGTGAGACCCTCCGCCTGCAAAAAGATTGCGACTTGCTGAAGGCTCAGATGATGGTTAGCATTTTTAAGCAAGAAAGTATTTTTGAATTAAGGTGTGTATATGTTTTTTTCTTTTTAGACATAATGCCGTTCCATACTTAATAGACCATGGTATATTAAACCTAACTTTTATATGCACTGGGAAACCAAAACGTTTCATGTGACTCACCGTTTGTGATATTTTCTTTAATGTGGTGATTGGAACCAGTTCTGCAGTATCTCTGTGGTCTGCCTGAATTGGACTAAGACCCATCTGCTTGTTGGGGATCCCCACCCATCACCGTCTGTCTCTCTTTTCTCTTGGGCTGATCAGTTTTCCCATAGGCAAATTGTGCATCCTGGCGTTCTGGGAAGGACTGGGGGTCCCTGAGTTGTCTGTCACCTTTGCTTAGTGACCGGGGCTACCTTAGTGTCCATCCAGACCAGGCTTGCTGGGCGGGTCTTGGTGGCTGTCTGGCAGTGTGGGATTGGGTGGAGGACCCAGGACTCTCTTTCCATCCAGACTTGCAGCCAGGTCTCCCCCTTCAGCCCTGCTTGCTCGTGCATCCTGAGAGTATCCAGTTCCTTCCTTTCCTGAGCCTGCTTGGGCTCTGCAGTGGGAACTGTATTTCTTTTTGACATTTGTTCCTCCTACTCCCCTCTCCCCATTCTTAATCTGACAGACATTTAGTGTTCAGGTTTCATTGTCCTCTTGAATCAGTTACCACATATCCATCTGCAGTCCGGCTTCTCACATTTTTTGACTTCTGATTCCTTTCTGCCTTGTTTTCTTTGTCCTTGTTGGTTTATGCTTTTAGTTTTAAAAACTCCTTTATCCTCAATTTTATGATGTTTTTGAAGGGAGTGGAGGCACATGTGTTTAAGCTGTCATCTTCATCTAGAGGTGCAAATGCAAATTAACTGTCCGTTTTGACTGTTGAGTGACCCTCTTTTGGCTTTTTGTGTTTGTTGACCTGGGAGCTTCTCAGAGGCTCTCTTGACCCGGCCTCCTCCTCATGTTCATGTGTTGGGATGTGACCCTTTCTGTTCCTTTTCTTTTCGTGATTACTGAGCCAGTTTGTTTTCTGTCATCTGGGATTTTTCAGACTCTGGTGTGTTACTGTTCTCATTCCTATTTTAAATTGAACTCTTATTTCATTCATTCATTCTGTTTTGATTTCTTAATAGCTTTTCTGTCCTCTCAGTTAAGACCTTGGGGAAATGGAAGATAGATGTTACTACTAGTTCATTGTTCTTGAACTGGAAGCTTCTGGTGACCAGAACTTAACCTGGTTGGTAACAGTCCACATCCTTTTGTTTGCCTTTCAGCTGATGTAGCCCAGCAGTTCCAGTATGCTGTGCGGGTGATTGGCAGCAACTTCGCCCCAACTGTTGAAAGAGATGAATTTCTAGTAGCTGAAAAAATCAAGAAAGAGCGTACGTATTTTTCTTAAATGTCATGTGGTGGATTCTTAAACTTGTCAGAACTTAAGCAGATGTATGTATGAATGTCTGTAGGTGTGTATGTAGTTCCCAAGCACATTTTAATATTGGTACAAAATAAGGACAAGTCAATTCTGTTGTAGAGTCAGAACTATTAGAACATAGTACTTTAGAATGTTTAATTCTGGGACGGTGCATAAAGCTTTTGCAAATCCTGGCACCTTAGAGAAGAAAGCTTTCCATTTGTTAGTTCTTGGCTGGCGAGTAGATTATCTGATTATCCCTGGCAGGGCTCTGCCGCCCAGCTTCGCCTCTGGAGAGCCTGAGTGGGAAGCTCGGCTCTGAGTAATGAGCTGCCACACATGAGCAGTCCTGTTTGAAAGGTGGTTTTTGCAGGTGGCCAGCTCTCCATCCTTATAGTTCTCTGGGCTGTATAACCCAAACACAGTGGTGCTTTTTAGTTGGCCTAGAAAAGAGGCCTGCGCGAAGGTCAGTGCATTTCCTTGCTGGGCCTCCCCGTTAAACTGTCCAAGTGGAGTAGGCGTTGGCCTTGGGTCTCAGTAATAACTCCTTCTACAAGTTCATTTGGCCTTGGGTCTCAGTAATAACTCCTTCTAGAAGCCCATTTGGCCTTGGGTC